AGCAGGGCATCATATGCTTCTCGCGCATGCGCACGCTTACCGAGCTTATCATGGACTCTTCCCCAACGGCTCAGGTAGAAAGAATTTTGCTGTTATTAGATTGATTGGTTGTTGTTAGATCACGTAGAACCTGGAACTACATAAGCACAACGCTCAAAGTAGCAGCCCATTTCGCATTCATAAAGTTTTCGGACACAAGGCTTTTAGACACTTTTATCTAAATGGTGGGAAGAAAATTCCAGAGGTAGTATTGGATTGTCATCAATGTGCAAAAAAATTACAGTCATAGCTTCCACATTGCTCGTTTGTATAGTAACATACGTTTACATAATTTGAGGAAAAGTTGGCATTGCAAACAGCGCTCAATGGATGGAACCAGAATCTCCGAAGGACGCCAAATTTGCTGAAGAGGCCAGGGAATGGGCAGCCCTATGGTTCATTCACCCTCTTTTCAAAGGTTGGTGAAATGGCCTTGCAGCTCGCGCTCTGTTCTCATCTCTTGTTATAAGCTAAAGATTACTGATAGAGTTTTTTGCTTTGATTGAAGAATTTCTGCCTCTAGGTGATTACCCTCCAGCTATGCGAGAAACCGCTGACAAAAAGTCAAAAGATGAAGGAAGAACAACAAGTCGTCTACCGTATTTTACTGATTATGAGAGACAAATGCTCATTGGTAAAGATATCGCCTTTAGCAAATACGATAAAAATGCTGAAATAACTTTTAACAGGCTCTGCCGACTTTCTAGGAATCAACTACTACATTACGCTTACCGTACGAGCATTTAGACCAGAAGAGAGAGGGTGAGAATATTGCAGTCTGCTGATTTATGCACTGATTTTACTCGATTAGAAAGCATCTTGGGCTGAACTACGACTTCGAAGGGACCGGCTGGCTGAATAGCAAGGACATGCCGTAAGTTTCTGATTTGTTATGTAGCCAATTGAGCCGCGTAGGTAATTCATAAACAAAACGTAATCGTTGATTTTTCGACTAAGCGCAGTAGAGCTTGTCACACATGCAAGATTATAGCGGTATTTTTAGGCTTTTTTTGGTTCTGCTGATAAACGACTTTTTACTTTTTTGGCTACAAGGATTTGGAATGGTTACAAGAAGCAGTTTATGGGAGTCAGAATTAGGGAAAATTCCTTAAGACAAAAGGAAGATATTCTGCTATTTGGATGGCTTTTGGAATTGTAAAGTAGAAATTTTTTTATTGTATTTCAAGCACTATGAGGTTCTTAAACTGAAGTTTCGAAATTGCCAATTTTAAGGAAGTGCGAAATTGTGCGGTTAAGTTTTGCCCTGTCTACTGCTAAGTAGATAGCTTGTCTCAGAATTCCAACCGACCTTTTGTTTGTCTCATTCTTGGTACATAATAAGCAGAGCACACACATCACACAGCTTGAAGATTTGCGCTTTCGAGGTTTTTAGCTGTCACCTGGTCAAAACTTGCAGCTAGTAGTGCTTAGAAACGGAGCTTACTCGTGATGGATTTAACGAGCTCCTAAAGCTCTCAGAACAACTTTACAAGTCTCAGATTTGTGCGAACAGTGCTTCGTACTCCCATCGTCCTCCCTTTTCTTCCATTAAGAGCGCAAAATAAAGTGAGGTTGGTTAAAGAATAAGTTCGTTCGTTTTCGACGGTTGATAGAAGTTTTATAAATCAATTTATGTGTAGAAGTGTCAACCATTACAAGAGCAAATCAAGGAGAATCGGATGGTTAACTGTGTTTAAGCACAAACATTATTTTGACAACGAAATTG